TGGGACTTGAACATTCGCTGTTAAATTCCTCTATAACCCCAAGGGCTAACATATTTTTTTTGTACCTATTTTGAAATGTTTTTTCTCCGAGCTTCATGTACACAATAAGGTCTTAGCTTTACTTTGACATGAAGCTCAGTCACAATGTAATGGTAAATAACATTGGTTTGGTTAGGTAATTCTGAAAACACATCTGAATTTTTCTGCACGAGCTCCCACCTCTTAAATCAGCGAAGGAGACCGGGTCTCTGACATCTCAACCTCAGGTAAACCTTTTTTCTGCCAATACTGCTTGGGGTCGCTTTCTGCTGAGATCCTCCTTTTCAGGGTTTTTTAGGTTTACTTTGTATATTAAGGGGCTTTCTCTTTCTAGGCCGGTAAACCTGGTAGTTATCACTGATTTTGGTTTCGGATCTCATAGGGACCCTGCCACCAAAATGAAGACTTTGTTTCTTGGGTTAAAACTTGTAATTTTAGCAGACCATTTAAGAACTCTGCCTGTGTCTCTTGGGCGTACTGCATATGTTCCCAAACAATGTGTTTTGGAAAATGCTACTGTCCTAGTGAGCAATGTGTTCTGTTACACTTTTGTGAGGATTGGTTGTTTAACTACTCCATGACCGGTGTGTTCACCCCCTTACTGTCCAGGCCATTTTTCATTATTCAGCGCTGCATTACTTTGACATTTATTCAGTCATGCAATGCTGTATTGTATTTTTATTTTATTAAAAATGTTGGGCACAGATGGAGCATTCTTTTGGTGGTATTTAATCCCCACTGGGGGTTTTATTTTTTACTAAATAAAGACAAAAGTGCCAAAGCTAGTTGCACCACATACAAGCGATTTGAAGAGCTCCAATGGAACGCTTGTATGTAAACCGCCATTGTTGGCTGTTTCAAAGAAATTAAATATCAGATATATTCATATAATTGTGCGCGTGTACAAGGACGTTTTAAAACTCCCACGCGCATTCAAGAAGCTCCCGTTTGACCGTTTTATATACAACTGCCCGAAGGGAAGCTATTAAAGCTGCGACCGGTGCGTGGAGAGCTGGATCTGACTGCTGACTCCTCACCCCCACCGCCTCCTGTGACAGCGCTGGTTGTCTTCGCCCCCCACACTCTGCTCTCCCCTGATCTGTAACAGGAGGATGAGCGGTGTGGGAGGAGATACGCCGGCCATTCACTGCGTTCTCCTCCCACGGTGATTGGTCGCCTGTGACAGTTTCTCTCATCCCCCCTGGGACACAGAGCAGAGGAAAGAAAGAATGGATGCACCGCTATTTGGGCAGAAAAATGGCACTTTCTGCATTTTGTCAAAAGGGTCATTTTCGTGTGTGTGTGTAGACCCTTGATGTTTAAATCGGCAAACTGCACTGGCCCATGTCTGGTAAAGAACCACTGGTGAAATGGCCTAGGCTCAAAAACAAAAAATTTAATATACTGCAGCTTACCGCTTCCTAGATGTGGTAGATGCTTTTGTTACATTCTCCACAAAGAATATTTTCTGCAAGAATAAAAAATACCGGTTACTCTTGCCAGAAATGTAGTGTCCTTGTTACATCATGGTAGCTGGACAGAAAGCAAATCATCGCCTATGTAATGGAGATGAACAAAGGCAGACAATATGAAGTCCAGCCTGGGTGGCAACCATATCTCCCTTCATAGACACAGTGACAGAGAGAGCGTAGCCACAGGAAGGTATTTGCAGGATTACCAGGTAAAGGAAAAGCCTGAAGAAAGAACTGGTAAACTGGAAAATAAATGTTTATGGATTTAGATAGGCGAAGTTCATTTTCTCAAAATGTGAGACCGTGAACTTACCCACACCACTCCGCCCCCACAGTTCATACTTTTATGCTGCAAACGCTAGGCTATCCCTGCTTTGCAGCCAGTGTACGATCCTTACACCACAATGAAGACCGGAGTTAGTATTAGGCATAATGGCCACAGATGGTGAGCGCTGAATGGTTGGCATGGTCGCATGACAACGCTGACCAATAAGAACCGAGTCGGGGCCCAGGTCCCAGAAGTAAGAAGAGGTTTCCGGCTTGTTAGTAGCTTGTTAGTGCAGGAGAACAATATCTGTAGATGTAGCCACCAACACTGCTAGCCTTGGGGTCCAGCAATAGCATTTGAGACAGGTCTTCTAACTTGTCTGACCTACCTTCCCCCTATGGCCGGTGGGCATATGCCTGCTTCCTTTTGTACTTTAGCCAGCTGTTCCCGTGGAAGTAAACTCTACGAATATCCATTCTTGCAAAGTAAGGTAAATTCCACCATTGCATAACTTACATCAAGCAGAATTTTCTTAAGCATACAGCCTGAGAATTTCACTGGTTATGGTGGCCTCCACTGTGTCATGCACCATTTATTATAAGAGGTACAGATTATCTGTTTAAAGGAAATAAAAAAACACCTTTTGATGATCAGTCCTGATTGAGTGCTCGGTGCGAACATCTTGCTATTATCACGCTGTCACTGATTGATGATTTATCTTGCTTTAGGCTCAGTGTGAAATGAATGTAATACCTTTTTGTGGATCATCCCTCGCTCATTAGCAGATTGTTAGCAGATACGATGATTCCGTTTAGAGAAACGTCCTGTTTTTCACCACACATTTCATATAATAGCAATGCTATGGCAACTTAATCATAGAGAATGCTTCAGACAGATCTCCTGCATACCTTTGCACTCCAGCCAACGTCATTTCTGAAAAGTGAGTTTTAGCCATCACAGTTTAAGCCTAATATTAGCTTGTGGTTAACAACCTGATGTGGATTTAGCCGGACTGGTGGTGCTACTTACCTGTGTGTGTTACTAGACCTTGTGAAAGTAAATTGTAATAGTTACTGATTTGAAGCAGTTTTTTAAAAAAAACCAGGGTTAATTATGGTAAACATTACTCCCTAGCCCCCTCCATGTCATATTACATAGGTTGATGCTAGGTCGGATTTTATAAGCATTTAAAAGCAAGTAAAAGGATAAGCAGCAATTTTTAAATATTATTAAAGTACTGCTATGTGAATGAGAACATGTAACAAATAAAAAGTAGGTGTTATCCTAATTTGGCTGCAAAAATAGAACTCTAAAATCTGGCCCCGTTAACTTTGTCAAAGATATAAACCAGATCCATACATTCACAGACATACTATCTTTAATAGACGTTTAAATTAAGGACCTCTGTGTTGCAAGGTCACAGTTTTAGGCCTGGTTCACACCTAGGCGTTTTTGAGCAGTTGGAAGCACTTTTAAATGCCCAACACAAAAAATACCATGATTTTCATTGGCCCCTTTTATCACCTGAGCAGGATAATGCCAAACACCCAAAAAGATGCATGAGCTTCTTTGGGCTGTAACGGCCGTTTTTGCCCCATAGACTTCAATGGAAATACCCGTAAACACGCGTCAGGAGCATGTTGCACATTTTTGTGCGTTTGCACGCACATTCGTCCATTGCTTGCAATGTTTATTAAGCTGCCAGTCAAAACATGCAAATAACCGCACGCTGAACAGGCGCAAAAAACGATGCCACCTAGATGTGAACCCGACCTAAAGGAGTAAAACACCTTCCACAGTTATTTCTTTTTTTACGTGCATTCCTAAAGTTGCCATCTAGACAATTATAATTAAACCTCTTACCATTCCATTTAGTCGTTCCGAGCATATTCACTGTGCTTCTTAGAACTGTAGAGTATTTTATAGGTAGTATAGGCAAAATGTAAAAACTTTCATGATGTGCACATTATCCCGTCTTCCTTGCCACACCTAATGACAAATTGTAACCTAAAGCTTAGTTCGGTGAAATGTGTTAAAAACAGTGGCAAGGGGTCGGGGGTCTACGAGCAGTAAGGGTACGGACTGGGCCCACTTATGCCTCCTAACAGCGAGGCGATGTTTAATGAGGCATTGGAACTCCTACAGTCCCAACAACTATGAAAATTTTTACAGATCTTTCAGGGTTATTAAATCCTCCGGTTTATTTTTTGCGTATATGGCTAGCAAGCAGTAGATATATGCAAACACTTTTTTGTTAAAACGCTTTAAAAGAGGTTTAAACTTACCTGTGTCTTTGCCGCTACGCTCCCGTCTGAAAATCTGAAAAATCTCGGGCGGCTGCAAAGATCTTGGGGCGGACACATGCGCAGTTCAGATTTTCGGGCGTGATACGAGGAGAGACGCAAGGTAAGTCTATGGACAGCGTGCACCCGCATGCAGACACTGTGGGACATAAGGTGCCAACAAGGACAGAGGAGTCAGCGCTGGATTGGAGACCCGCAGCAGCACTGGAGAGAAGGCTGAAAACAGGAAAGAAGATGATATTAAGAGACATCATTTAAGGTAAGTGCTTACACTAACATTGGGGGGAGGGTGGAAAAAAAATTATACTTTAATGTCACTAAGTTTTTGTTCTGTAAAGAGAAACAGTTTTACATGGATGCATAAAGATGCCCGCTCTACGCCTTTCTTTTCTAGATGGAGGTACTTTATCAGTAGATCTTACTCTGTACCGCAAATCCAACAGATTATTATGCCCATTCGATATACTCAATGGTACTTGAATAACTATATATATATAATGCTTTGGGGTTTCTGCAGGCAGGCCGGCCATGATTAAGAGCCTCAGATGGGGGAGCTGCTTCAGAAACCTGGGTTATTACGTGCATTGTACGGGGGATAACTTTAGCTGATGGCATGTTCATTTTGGTTACGTGGATCATCACTATTCTTTGAGAAGTCAGGGATGTGATCAATGCTGTACTTTTTACCAGTTTGCGGAAGTGATGACTTTTTTTTGATTATTTTCTTTTGATTATTGTAAAACTGCTGAAAAATTTTAATTAAAAAAAAAAACACACACACACAAAAAAAGTAGGAAAACAAAATGTAAAAATTGTATATTCAGACTATCATAACCATTTTAATGATGACCGTTTTCTTGCTGTATGGCCTGTTAATTTCAGGGCACTTGAATAATTCTCTTTTTGAAATCATTGCAGAGATCTTCTTCAGACGTTAACAGAAGAAGAGCTCCACATTCTAGAACGGAACCTTTGCATATCGCAAGATATGGAGTTTCCGGTCCGGACTGACCCAGAAGTGCCCCCCGCAGTCTCTCCTGTCTTAGTCGCTGCCTTACCCTCAGAAGAACCACTTTCATCAAAAACTGAGATCACAGAGGTGGAACTGGCTTGCTCTATGCAGTATGATGAGCAGGAGCTGGAGCAGCTTAATATGATGGTCCACAGAGTAGGCGATGAAATGTCTTCTTTACTTTCTCCACCAAGTGTCTGTCAGTCACCTGCTCACAGGGCTAGCTCCAGCACCGAGGCCTCACCAAGCAGACGCCCTAGAGGCCACGATGATGAGGATAGGGTGTTCTTCATGGAAGACCTTGATGGAGCCTTGGATGGGCTCTGTAGAAGAAGAACCTCAGAAAATACAGGCGCCTGGGTCAATAGTTCCTGTTATATCCCTAAGCTGACTTCTCAGTGCCAAGACACCCTTGTACAGAATGGGGATGTGGACCATATTGATCCTTTGAAGGAACTAGAAAGCGATATAAGCAATAACAACAACATAGATGGGACTAAAATACTCATGTCAAGTGCTACTCTCCAGAACTCTTGCAGTTGTTTAGAGATGGCGGATTCACAGGTATACCTCAATGGCTGGGATGTGAATGGTGATGATGCAGAGACGGCGGAAATGATTGCTAACAGAACTGGCGGAATGAAAATCTCAGCAACTGTAATCTTCAACCCCAAATCTTGTGCAACTTCAGCATCTCCGGAAGCTTCACCAGATCCAGCCTGTAGTCACTCTGCTCTTTCTTCAGACCCTTTAACAAGTCATGAAGGGGATGAGGCCCACAAACTTAGCTTAGCAGCCACAAACTGCTTAATTAATTCATGTGTGTGTTGTGGTAGCTGTGACGATACAAGGGAGGATGGCTTGGAAAGCTTAACAACACTTTGCTCTCCGGGTAAAGTGATAAATGCTTCCTATAGCTTAATAAAGTCCAAAGAGATTGGCCATTTAGACAGACGAGAGTGTGCAGTGTCTGCTAAAGAGGTGTTGATTGAATCCCCCCCTGTTTTGCTACTAGAAAAAGACTCCAGTAGATCGGAGCAAAGACTCTCCAACTCCAAGTGCCTGGCGCATACCTCAGGTTCACAAATAGAGACGGACAGCGAGTCTGACGAGGCCATGGGGGTCTCAAGTCCGCAACTTAAGAGAGTGTTAAGAAGGAAAGACAATGACGGGAATAACGGGCAAACACATCAGACAGAAGAGGCTAGCTTGGATGCCACATCAAAGGAAGATCTTCTATCTAGCACAAGGTAAGAGCGCCTTGCTCAGCTTTCATTACTCCTTTGTAATTTCTTTCTAAACTTCTGAACTTTAGTCTTTTTAAAGAGCATAACATTGGGCCTTTTAAAAACATCTAACAAAAAAAAGTGCACAAAGAGGAAAATGAATTGATGCTCATTGCAATCTGTTTTAGCACTATAGAAAGGACATTTGGAAACGATTAGATGGCATGTGCGACAGGTAGTTTTCTTCTTAATGCCCTTTTCATACATCAGCTCCATGGTTTTAAACTGAAAAATGTTAATTGCAATTGGATAGAAGCTAATGTGCCATCCGAATGTTTGTGTCCACCTCCTCCTTTCCATCATGGTGACTTATAGCGCAGCTTACACAGAGCAAAATATAGGAAACGTCAGTTGCTTTATACAAGCTTTTTTTAATTTCAGATCCAGTCACGTATGACATGCTGAAAATAAGTAGCAGTCATATACAGATCCTATTTTTATTTTTTGGAGAGCCATTTAAAAATATCTATGATATTGCTTGGGGGTAAAGCGGGTATCCGGCTAAAAAAAACAAACTAGCCCTCAAATATAAACTGCATCAGCCAAGATTTGTTATGGTAGGTGTTGGTGCCAAGAGCTCTGTGCTGGTATCTTATGGCATGGAGTTTTTGGCTAATACAAATGTGCCCTCCAGTGGTCAACTCTCATTCAAATTCTTAAACTAACCCCACACTGAACTCCTATCCCCTAACTTGACCCACAAGCACTTAACCAAGATCACCTATCTTGACCTAAAAGCGGACCTTTACACTCAAAAATATAGTTCTACCAATGCATCCCTCTATGTATGAATATTAATAATAACATAGACATGTCAGGTGTAAAATGCTGTGATTGTGATATACTTACATTGAAGTTATTTGCACTTTCGAAGCAGGAAGTGAATGCTCTGCAGTTTGCCAACGCAATGCACACTGGGGATTGCCTTGTCATCAGCAAAGCATTGCTGGAAAATCTCATATGTAATCTCATGAGATCTCAGGGAAAGGCATTTTCCTCCCCTGAGATGATGGGCATGGTCGCATGTCTAGTCAGATGTGCCAGAAATCCAGGAAGTAATAGGAGAGCTAGTAATCTGCCCTTAGTAAACATGGCCACTGTCAGAAGAATGGAAAAGAAAAGAGAAATGCGGTATGCAAAGAATACAAAGCCGGCATTTATCTAAAAGTATGTGTTTGTAGATTGTCATTACTAAACATTTGTTGTTGTTTTAAAGATCTGGGTAAAGGTCCGCTTTAACACTTAGCCTAGGTTCTTTAACCTCTCACTCCTAATACCTAACCTACCCTTTTATTACCGAAAATGTTTCATCCCAGAGTCTAAAACTAATTTATCTCAAGTCCTAACATTAAACTTACCCTTTGTTTTATTACATAATCTTGTCTGAAGCTGGGACCTAATCCTGACGTTTATTGCAGACTGGTCTCAGAAAAATACAGCAGTGCCAAGCTAACCGAGACTAAAGCTAATGCTCGGATCCAAATTTGTATATGTGCAGATTTGTGTAAAAGCCAGTGGAATAACAGAATTTGCATTGTCACCCAATCTTGCTCTTTTATTAGATAAACTGGGGTGATTAAATTTCACTGACCTTCAGGTGCAAACATTAGTCCTTCACTACTGATCACTTCTTGCAGAAGCCCAAGTTTCCTGATAGTTGTCTTCCAAGAACATGCTTTTGTTGTTTTTACCATTTGTGAATAAAAGTTTTATATGCAGTTGGCCTAGAGGAGATTCTTGATTCTAGAGGGAATATTCACTTTTTTTCCCCGCTACTATTGACATTACCTGCATGTGCAGTAAATACCATATGGCGATTATGTACCTGGCGATTATGTACCCGGTTAATGTTTTTACTGAGAGGAGGCTCCCTTTGGTGTGTTTTCAATGGCTGCTTAGACAACGGGTGTTTTCCATGTGGCTCTGATCTGGATTCTTTAACGTTAGGGAAGCTCTGTTCACTCCTTGCCTGTACAGGATACCTAATGTCATTGCTTGGGGTAGACTCAAGTCAGGCATGGTATTCAAAAAATCAAGCACTCAATATATCCCAAACAGTTCAAATCCCAATTTTTTACGCCACTTAGCTCCCAGGCAATTTGTTCGCCAAGCCCTGTGTCACCTGGAAAGAAATAGGCTGACCACATTATACATTGTTTAGCTATTACAATTAAAATACTCTCTTCACACTATTATTGGTACTTTATTTTTTGTTTCTTTTGTGCACTTTATTATTTGAGTAACCTACTCTATAATAAAAAAAAAGGACACGTACATAGATTTTATTAGCTATTTTGGCTTACCAAAATCCACCCCAACGCAGGGTTTTTATGTGTTCTGATTTTCTGTTCTCTCTAGTATTGTTTTGCTATCTTTTTATATTTTTGTCATGTGGTTTCCTAATCTTATATTGTGTACTACTATAGAATCTTTTTTTTTTTTTTTTTTTTTTTTTTTTTTAAGAGTAATCATTTTTTTTATTTCCCCTTCCCTGTATTTTTGCTTTTTGAGAAGTGACTATGGCATTTAAGTTAGGTTTTTATTTTGTGTGCTTGCAGCAGACTAGGTGTAACATTCTGGTTACTGTGACAGAATGATAAATCGGGAAGCTGCCTTCTCAAGTATCTCTGGATGCAATGTCCTTTTTTTTTTTTTTCCTTCTAGAAGTTTCATGTGTAGCTAGAAATTTACTTTTATTTGCTTTGTTTTAATAATGCAGAAAAGCTGCCAGAGCTATTGAATGCTGGAACTGCTGGTTGTACTTTTCTGAAGCTGGAAGTACAGTAGAGCTGGTTGTGGCCAGTATGACACCTTACCTGCAGTGTGGACTCTACTACATGTATAAAAAAAAAAACACCTTCTTGAAATGGTCTACCCCAAGAAATGGCGAAAGCAAGCTGGCATATGCAAACATTGTCTAAATACAAAAGCTATGTGTATTCTTAGTTGAGTCACGGTGTACTATGCTTATTTTGTTCTGGGTTTGTGTAGTAATCCAATAGGGAATTTTGCCTCAATGTAGGAACTTCCTGTAATAAAAACCGATCACTGCTGCTCTTTTTGCAGAGTGACTGGTCTGGTCTCTGCCCCCCTCCTTTAGTTTTCTGCAGACAGCCCGTTGTGGGTGGGCCTGTTAGGTCCCACCCACAGCTCTGTTCTCGACACAGGATGTGCGTGATACTCTGATGGTAATAGAAAAGTACCAAATTAGAGGGTCAGTATTAAGAGGCCTTATGTAGATATCCCACATCACACCTGACCGATGTACCCCTCATAATGTGAGTGGTGGAGTAACTCTGCAGAAGGCACCACATAGATCCAAGAAGAAACTAGCACTATGTCTGATGAAGGGACCAGACCCTGTGTCTATTCAGAAAGCCAATTTTCTGACATTTTGACTGAACGTCAATAAAGGTGTTGTTGGTTGAAGAGCCATTGGTGTCTTGGTGACATACTTTCTTCTAGTGTTAAGGGGCCTCTCATCCAGATTTCCCGAGCTTTGGTGAGCAGTGTAGGAAGAACATTGTGGCAGACACGCAAGACGGAGACCTACAATAAAACCAGAGCAAGCTGAAAATGGGGTAATTTTCTGCACTATGCAAATAACGTTGTTTTGCTTATAACCTCATAAATTGGTATAATATACACAGTTGTGTGTTTATAAATAGCATGCCCTTCAGATGGATACATAGAATTCAGGGGAAAAACGCATAACTCAGAATTTGTCCTAGATTTATAATGTCCTTGTTATAATTCAAAGGGGAGCGATAGAGACGATAAAAGTGGATAAAACCGGCTAGTTGGTAAAGATTGTATTCTGCTTATGCTGCAGATAGTAAAAATGTACCCAAGGAATGCATTTCATAAAGCTTCAGGCTAGACCAGTGGTGGGCATCTCTGACCCTCCAGCTGTTGTGGAACTACAATTCCCTTGAGTCATTGCAAGACTGACTGTTGGGATTTGTAGTTAAAGCACAGCTGGATGGTCGGAGTTGCCCACCCCTAGTCTAAACTCGGATTTCTCTATAGTGTGCTGTGGCAGAGCTCTCTAAATAGAATATATTTACAGTGTCAGATTTCTGAAGCTGGGCAGCTGCTTGTGTGTATATAAAGGCCAAATGCTGAGCGAAGTTTGGCTGGTTCCTAATAAACCAGCCATAATTTGCTGTGTGGTTGACTCTGTTGATGGCCTTCTACCCAATATCCTTTTAATCTGAAAATGGAAAGATCCAGGTGGAAAATTATAGGCTGAACACTGACTACAGCCATTCTGCTGTAGTCACTGTTTCGGTATTCTGACAGCGGCAAAGAAATAATAAATTAAAACTTCTAAATTACAAAAAAAAAGGCAGCTGTAAGCCCAGATTTACAACTCCAGCATTTTGTAGCTCAAAGCTCCAAACCGCTCAACAACCATATCCCATTTTGCCTGTTCACATGTGATGCTCCAGCGCGGGAAGCTCAAAAAGATCAGCTACTTCTGAAGCAAAATGGGGGTGTTTTTGGCCACGAAATCTTCAATGGAAGCACCTAAAAATTAGTGTTTTTCAAGGCTAAAAACCATCTTCTTGTACCTAGCTTTCCATTGGCTAAAATAAAAACACTCAACCCTAAGTACATCTGAAAAGCCCAAAAAGGCACAAATAAAATTGCTTCACAATTTCCCTGTGAATGCAGCTCATAAAACTTTTTTTTACTTTTATTCATTGGTTACTTGACCGCGCTGGTTCTTGGCCCATTTTCTTTTCCACAGAGCGGGGAGCGTAGCTACATTTATTGAGAGCAGCAGCATGTGACGGCTCTGCTACTCAGCTCAGCTATGGTGTTGACAGCAAGGCTCCTGGTAGGAAGTGCTGTCAATCAAGCCAAGTAGACCTTGGAAGGGGGGTGTCACTACCAGGCTGACTACAGACGTGTCCACGTGGTGTCCTGTAGCTCTGATTACAGGGGTGGGGAAATTTTTG